ACTGATATAGATTCTGTTACTTGATTTTCATTTATACAAATAAATAAAATTTTAATAACTCTTATGAAAATGAACATCTTTACATTATTTTAAATCATTATAATGTTTTTTTTACTAACTATCTATGAATTGATATGCAACCGTATTCGCATTGTTTGTCCATATTGTTCGATAGTCTTTCGAAATATTTGTTTGTAAGATTCTGATGGAAAAATAAATAATAAAAAAGTTGACATAGATGGAACAAATGAAATAAGATATCCAATAAGAGATAGCCATGAACCAGTAGTTGACTTCATACAACCTCCAACAAAAGAAATAATTAGACGTGGCACAGCAAGAATAACTAAAACAAATGGAGCGATTATTAAATTTTTGTGTTGTTGAAATTGTTCATGCAATAATTTTTTATATGATTGATGTTTTTGTACAGTTGTTCGTTGTCGAGTAATCATTACAATAATAATAATAGCTGATATAATATTGATGAAAAATGGAGCAAGAAAATGAAATATAAGTATGAATGAATTGAATGCTCGAAGATTGCTTGAATAGCTAACAATACACCAAATTCTTTTCTCATCAACATCATCATCATTTTCATTTAGTAGACGTCGATGAATAGGATCATGAATAGTTGTACTAGTAGTCATAAAGAGAAGAATAAGAATAATATATTTAGCTATTTGTTTGCTCTTGTTTTTATCAAATCTAATTCCTTTTATTATGATAATTGTTCTTTCTATACCTACACATGCATTTAACCATTGATCCATACTAAGACCAATTCTTAGAAAAAAATCTATTGAAATACATTGAAACTTTAAAAATGATTGATTTGTCATGTATGTTATTTGTGCAATGATAAGTATCCAAAACTTCAATGCAAAAATAACCATAATAAGTAAAGTAATAATTGACGAAGTCAACAAATAGAGACCACAACCAGTTCTACGTGATTCTTTATTTCCAAATGTGATTATCGATAGAACGCTATCAGTAATTCCAGCTATGATAATGATTATTGTCAATGCCACACTGACTTGTACAATAGATGGTTGATGTTTAATATTTATACGTGGTTGAATATAATAACCTAAGATAGCATCGAGTGAAAGATCAAATAAATTTGAAGTAAATTGACATCTTGCTCCATAAAAACATTTTGGACAAACACATATAGATGTTTGTGGACAAGTTGCTTTGTCTTGTAAACAATGTGCATCATTTTCACAATTACTTTGACCAAAACAATTATGTTCAATTCCATGATTGAATTCAAAACAATTAGTTAAACGTTGATGATCATAATCATTACAGAAACAAAAATGATTATCATCATAGAAACAAGATAAAAGTGGTGAACGTTTTTGACATGGCAATTGATAATATTTGATACGACGAAGAGGATGAAGTTTCATGATAGTTTCATTCAATATTTCACTTATATGTTTACAATGATCTAATGGAGTAATTGTTCGAATAATTCTTGTCGATGGATTGTATTCATTTTGAACAATAATCAAATAGTAGCTATTATTGAAAAAATCAAGAAAAGCGACATGAAATGGATGTAGCTATTGAATAGTAACTGATTTTTGATTACCAAGAATAGTTTTGAAAGTAGTACCATTTTCATGTGGACCATTATCAATCGCTCGAATAAAATGAACAAACATTATTTGTGGTAAAATAATATCTTTATGAAATGAGAGAATTATTTTACTATCAACTATTTCACATCTTTCTCCACTAAATCCTTTTGGACAGATACATATAAATGGCTTATCAGAGATGATATTTTCATCAATATGTATGCATTTACCATTATTCTGACAAGTAGCATTTTGATTCGAATAACATATTGTATTATGAAGTAAACATTGAGAACCCCATTTATGAAGTGGACAAATACAAATCGATCGATTATTTGATGATATACCAATACATAATGAATCAGATGAACATGTACATCTATATGGAATAGTACAATATTTTCCCGTCCATTCATGATAACATTGACCATGTATACATGGTTGATCTAAACAATTTTCTTTTTTATCATTTGTACGTGGAATATTAAGTTGAACAGCAATACGATGCACAGGTAAAAATGGATTTTTAAGTGGAATTAAAAAACTTCTTCGATATGTAAATGAAATCTTTTCATAAATATCAATATGAATAAAATAATTTTTTGTTTGATTTTTTGGTCTAGTTGAATAAAGTAAATAAATATTAAATTTAGTTTGACAATCTCGAATATAAATATAAGTAAGTTGTTGATATGAATGAATAATTCTTTCATTACTATCATCAATAAGTAAAATAATTAATGCAAATAATGTTTGTCGAGAATCAGAAAATGTTTGAAATCGTAATGTAAGACTAACACGTTGATTTTGATATTGACACATATTACCATAAAAACTAGGTGGACAAAGACATGCGGCAATAGGCAAGTTTTTATCAATATTTAACCAAATTTGTAATGGAAGACCACGATGACAACGTTGCTGATGCTGTTGGATAGCTGTTTGTCTGGTGGATGAATGTAAGATCATTTCATTTGTATGTTGTTGAGTTATTTGATTAGTTGAGTTCGTTGATTTACCAAGTGAAAAATGTATCACTGTCGGTTTATTGGCATCCAATTGACGTGTACAAAAGAAATTTTCAACTTCAGAACGAACGCTTTCATACTGTTCATCACAAATAGTAGTGTATGGGGATATCTCGAGTGTTATCACAAAATTGTATATCAGTTCTGTCTTGGCAATGACTTTCATAACATAAATGTAGGGGTTCGATACAAAGTTTGCTACTGTGATTGATGCACTGAAAATTTTTGTAGCTAGATCGATAATCATTTGATCGACATAGTTTAGGTTCATCAGTACCACCAAGACAATCAATATTACCATCATGCGCTTTTCCAAGAGGTAAACACATAAATTGATTTGTATGAGGTGAAACACAAATGTGATGATATTGATATGGACAATTAAATGATAATGATGATGAATAACAATCAACTTCATCAGCTCCATTAAAACAATTCCAAAAACCATCACATCGTGTATAAGTATTATTACATTGCCAATATTCACATTCTGTTTCATCTGTTTCATTTCGTCCATCAATAGTAACAGGTATTAATTCTGTAAAACCATCACAAATAGTTGTAAATGATATATGTTTTCTAATATAAAGATTGTTTAGATCTTCATCATCACAAAAACTATATTGATCAAATCCACACTGGCACCATTCATCTTTGACCAGTGCTGGAGAAATACAGATATTTGTTGTCGTACATTTAAAAAGATTATCTAATCCATGTAATAAACAAGAACCATTGATTTGAGTGCACTCTTCATCGTCATTGTATTTGCAGTCTATGATGTTATCACAAAGTCGATGTTTCGAGATACACATTGATGAATTAATACATTTATACATAGTTAAATTGTTACAATTTTCAGATTCCTTATAGTGAATTTTGTTGCATTGAGAAAGATCTTGATATAGTGGTAAGACATACATATTGAACCAATTACCTCTGGCGAACGCTAATGATTTAAATTTTAATGGAAAATCTGCAGGACGACGACATGTAGCATTATTAAATGAAATTAATAATTTATTTGGATAGAATTCATCACAAAGTTGATCATTGTAGCATACATAACTAGGTGATATTGATCGAGCATTGGACTTAATCAGATCTTCTGTAGTATAGATAAAGAACATATGACCAAAGACAATTGTGCCTGCTGGTACGGGTAGCATATCTAGGCAGGTCTGATTGATTATTTCTTTACATGTTCTTTTGGAACAATGAATAATACATCTTGGATCGATTCGATCATAAATGCCTGACTGACATTTAACTGCTATCCAGCAATCATCAGATACTTCAATTGGTTTGTCATTTAACAGTAACTTCTCGAGTATTTTAACGCGTTTTGACAGACATGAACTTGTCAATTTCATATGGATTTGGTCATGGCGCTGTGAGCATGCGATATCTTCAGTAGCAAATGTCGGTTCACTACGAAACTCGAGAAATAAATGACTATTCCTCTTCATATTCTTCCGAATTTCATCTGTTCGATCAAGACATTCGAAAGTATTACGATTGTCATGTAAAAATATTTTGGATATACATTGTCCATTAGCACATTGATATTCATTTTCTTCACAGTCACTAAAGTGAAGTTGCCCACAAAATTCTTCATCAATCCCATTCTGACAATCAAGAGTTCCATCACAAATTTCAGTCCAATCAAGACATATTGATGAAGGACCTCGATTGCATTCTAAATGAGTATAACATGTCAAATTTACAGGATCATATTCATGTTGATAAAAATCGTAAATAATTTCATATAATGATGAATTATGAGATATGTAAGTATCCAATGAATATTGACATAATGGACCAAATCTTGGTAATGTACAATTATAGAATAATTGTGTTGCCATGAAAGATGATTGATTTGAAATTGAAAGATGATTTAAATAGAATTGATAACGCTCAACTACATCCATAGGTGCTGACCAAA